AGAAGAAGAGGAAATCTGGAAATTTTGGATGAAATGTTACGGTTGAGAGATAGCATCATCAAATCAAAGGGGTAAGGTTTAATCTTGTTGGTTGCATGCATATATAATAGGAAAATTCAGAAACCTTAAGCTTCAATCAATGGCCGTTCACTTTTCTGATGATTTTTTTGACATGCAAATACACATTTAAAACTTCTCAACCTTAAGGATTTTAATGGAACAAGTTTCCCTTGATCTGGTCAGGTAGACGCTGAGCGGAGCTAATCAATTTTTGTTGCAAAAATTAAAGATTAAAAGGAATAAAGATTAAAAATTTTTAAAATTAATATATTAAACTTAATCATTAATAATTAACAGATTCATAATAGACTCATTCGAGTGTTTGACTCATTCATTCGTGTATGATTTTCCTCTTAAAAAGAGTAGAGTTTGAATCCCTTTTCCCAAATAGTCTTCTAAGAAAATTGTGTTCGACTATATTTTCTAGATTCAAATTAATCAATTATTGACTATATATTGAAAAGGTTAATAATGTCTTTATCAATTTAAATAACTAAATTATTTGTAAAAAACTTATCATTCATTTTATTCCAGATTCTTGTCTTTCTTAATACAAACCACTAAAAAATTATTGCAGTTAATATCTAATATTCATATTTTATTTCTATTTAAACTTAAAATATTAAATATAAAATTATAATTCATAAAATATAAATAGTTAAATACGATATAAAAGATTAATAATTTTCTCTTATATAATTAGGATTATTTAAAGACTAAATACTTAAGATAATTTCCTTCCAATTATATATTAAACATAAAGCATATCAAAAAGATATACTCAAGGTAATTTCTTCTTATATAATTAAGATTAATAAAAAAATGATATATTAGTGAAATTTTAAACTGTAACTAATAATGCAATGCTACAACTTATATTTGAGAATTATATAAAAGTTTTTTAATTTTTAAAGACTAAAATCATTGAAAATAAAATCCGTATAGCAGAAAAAAAAATGAAAAACATGACAAGTAGAAGATAGAACCCACATAACAAAAAAAAAAATAGTTGATGGTTCATAAAAATTTAGAAAAAAATTTTATTGAAAACTTAGAATATATGAGCAAATAGAATAGAATTGAAAATAATAAATAAATAAAAAAATAATATAAAATAAAAAGTAAATAAAAACTTTAGAAACTATTAAAAATATATATAATATATAAAATTTTTTAAAAACTTTGACTTTTATAATGATAAGACGATCTACCCCTAAATAGATGATAAGATATATTGATTTTAATTTTGAATTCAGTGACGATAAACAATCAAAATTAGGCCGTCTGAATCAGAACTTCTAAATACATTTTTGGTTGGTTTTTGATTCAAGGTCATATTATGCCGTGAGATCTTTCTGATTCCAGCTTGCATGTCTCGATCAAATCACCGGAGGGAGAGGTATGGTTGTTGGAAGAGGATTTATGAAATTGAACTATTGCTTGAAAATGGGTTTCACCACTCTCTGGTGGGCTTTACTCCAAGGCCCTGTTTGGGCAATATTTTTGACGGGTAAAATAGATTTTCCAGGTTATTGCTTTATTTATTATCATTTTCCCAAGTGTGATTATGTAGACAAAGGGTGCTTGGGAGAGTAAGGATGAATATGGGCCTCAAATCAGTTACTGAAAGTTTTACTCATGGATGGAGTACATGTTTATGAACGAGGTGCATAGTAAATAAACTATGAAAAATGTTGATTTTATTATTAAGCTTGATTTTGTGGAAATTAAAATTCAGATTAAGCTTTGTTGCGAAATTTGGTGGCTTTTATGGATCTTTAAGTGCTACAACTTATGGTTAGAGTTTGGGTAGATCTTAGAAAAAAGAGTGACCCTACTGAGTGAGTAAAGTCGACTAAAATTGTTTAATTTGGAAGATGAACTAGGTGCATGTGAATCAAAATATTTAATTCTTGAATCATGCAGTGATTATGGTTAATTTGGATTATTAGACCCCTAAGTACACTTTGATTTGGTTTTGAGTTTGTTAACTCAGCCTGCCAGGTAAACTGCTTAAGGAATCTCCACTTATTTTATAAAACGTATAAGTATATATATGCTTGACATAATGGTTCTAATGAGCAAATGCTATTTTGTATATTTTATTATATGAAAATAGGATCCTTATGTGGATTATTTTGAGCACATATTTTGTGAATACATAAATGATTTGGAAGTTTTATATGTTTTGAATATGTGACTTTTAATCACATATTTCATGTTAAATATGTTTTGACTTCTATATTGAAATTAAATATGTTTTTGAGAAATGTTATTTGGTATCATTGTCATAGGAACTTATATTGTATGTGAATTAGATTGAAATGGTTATTGCTCTAAATCTGGTTACGTTTAGAGACAATTGTACTTATGCTAGCTTGTAC